TAGACAATGACGTGTTGTGTTTGGTTGGTGTGAAAATATGCAAAAAGCAGTCTATAATGGTATATCTTTTTTTTTGCAAAATACATATTTACAAATATTTATGTATGTTCATGGACACTAGAAACAGACATACATATGTAGGTATATACTAAGGTGATTGACTTGTTTTTTTTACAAACCGGTTTTTTTTTATATCTTGATTTTTCGAATACCGAACAAACCGGATTTTTTTTTTTATCGAACAACCCGGTTGGTTTCATTTCATACAAATCTTTGTTGAAGTTTTCAAGGCTTTTGCTAGTGTAAGGGAAACCCCTGAGTAGTTTTAAATTTATATCCTTGGTTATTTGAGGATGAAAAGGATTATAACAGGATAACAGGATCATATTTGATTTCAAACAATGAATGTACGGCGATTTTAAAAACTTAAAATAACAGACGTGATTTTTTCACTAGTTTTTTTTTTTGGTTTGTTTGTTTTACCTTTGATCTAAAAAAAGCTTTGAACTTATTTTGCTTTTTTTTTTGTATTTTCTAAATAAAAGCTATCTTTACTGTTAATAAATTTATAGTAATTTTTTGTCATGTCTGCGGTTTATCCGGTTTTTCTTAGTCTCAAAATCAGGAACCGGTTTTGGAAAAAAGCGAATAATACAATGCCCTAGTATGCAGTGGTCGAAATAATTATAGCCGCGCCAAATTTTGACAGGTTTTAACATATTATTTTTGTTGTTATTTAATTTTGGTTATTTTTTTATAAAAAATATAGTTCATTCTTTAACAAAATCCCTGTAAATTCAAGCTTCAAACTTTGTGAATTATTAAAAAAATCAATAAACTTTTGTAAAAATTTCTAGTTTTTTTAATTAGATTCCTAGAAAGATTCTGAGTATGCAGTTTTGTAGCCCATTGAATCCTAGTACAAGCAAAGTACAAGCTTCAAATGGCTAAAAATGCCGGTTGATTTTAAAAATTTTTTTTTTGATTTTGAATTGGAATACAATTTTTTCAAAAACGCATTAACTCAATTTGGCCAAAGTTTTACGTATGTCATTTATTTATCTGTGTAAAAAAACCGATCAAAAATCAGATTCATCTACTTTGCTGAAAGTGCCTTTATTAAACCTATTATTTCTCAAGCTATTTAACCAAGCTTTCAATGGGCAGCCACACAAGTTCCCACTCCTACTAGATCTTTGACATAAAATTTTAACCGGTTAAGTACTGGTTCTTTTCAGAAAATTGGCCGCCTTGTTACTGCTGGGAGATGTGTGCGCTTTTGAGTGTATTGACATTTTTTTTTTTACTGGGCGTGGTATGCGCGTAAACGCCTACGACAGACAAAGCGCAACAAAAAAAAATACAACATAATTAAAATGTAAACAAATAAAATTGTGAGAAAGTAGGTTTGGTAAACTAATTTGACGCTTAATTGGCGTAAATATAAGGTGAACCACTGGCACTTGTTCCAGAATGGCAATCGAAGGTTGACCCGTTGCTATAAGAGAAATATTTTTATGCATAGCGCGAATGGGAACTGGAAAATTGTTGCGACGAATGGCTGTGAACCAACGCGTTAGAAGTGCCTTTCAATGCTGACAGAAACGTAAACATTTCATCAAGTTTATTTTAGTGTCGAAACCACGCGCCTAAGGGTTGTGGGAATCGGCAGGCGTGCTGTCAAAAAAAGACATTGTTAACACAGAATGTGAATCCTTTTCGACTCGAAAATGTCAGAAAATGCAATGCATAAAAATTCTTTAGTATTACATAAAAAGTCTTAGTATTACAAAATAGTTAAATAAGCAATAGGGTATTGTTAAGTCCCCATAAGAGAACCAGCGTTTTCCGATCGAAAAATATTGAATTCAGGAATTCTATACCATTTCTAGGAAAAGTTATTTTTTCCTTTATAATATACATGGAAAACTTTGAGCGCTTTCAGTGATCTCTAAATATTTTTTGATTTCAAAATTAAAAAAAAAAATAGTTGTATAGCTTTTCGACATAGAACAATCGCAGGGGGTGAGAGCATTAAAATGCCCACTTTACTTATTTTGGACCACCCTAATACACATAAATATCTACATAATAACTTAAAGACCTCTACCAAAGCGAACAAATATTTCCAAACAGTAAATATTCAAAAAAGATACAATGACATTCTTTTAGACAAAGAAATTGGAGACCGATTTACATTTTTTACTACATTTTAGTCACAAGCAATATATGTATATTAAGTACCTTTTTATTGTTTTTTAAGTGAGACCAATTTCTTTGTTTACTAAAAAAATATGCGAAGGTGTGTATATTGTACATATTTGTTTATACAATCTTATGTATCAACGCATGTGTGCATTGAAGCGTTGAATTTTGTAGCCATTTTTACTAAGCTTTTATGCGTGCGAATTTTTCATGCTTCAAAAACAATATTAAATACTTTATTAGCAATAAACACGCAACAACTTGTGGAGCATGAAGAACTTGACTCGTCATTTGGCGGCGGCTAGTACTTAAATATTGGTAATAAAATCACTGAAGCTTAAGGAAACCCAAGCGAATAATATATTCGCGCTGGGAATATAAAGTCAATAACTACTAATCTAATTTATAAATATACATATGTATATACATGTGTGTACGTAAGTATTTAAATTTCTACATATAAAGTAATTTTTAAAACAAATTTAACTTAGGGGAATAACCGTATTTCATACGAGTATTTGCCTATACTAAATTACGCTACGTACTTACATATTACAAAACTTAATTCACAATTACGACTACATACGAATTGTGATAAGAATAAAGTTCTTGTAAACCACTTCCACGAAATACTTTATTTGGACTTCACTTAGAGTGATAATGAAGTGGTTTCTTGGAAATTCATTGCAAATGAGTGGAAATTACGCAAAATGCATACGCTGGTACAGTGCGTATGAGTAACATTTTGATCCATATCGTCACTACACACGAATAAAGGCGCGCTAGTGTTTTGACGGCGTAAAAAAGACGTGTAAAAAAATTTTACGAAACTTAAGGAAAACTTCGGCGAAGATAGACGCGTAAACATAGATTTCTTACTGGCCGAAGACTGTCCCTTCAGCATCATTCCCTAAAAACTCTTTGGGGAATCTATATACATACAAATATAATACGCGAAGGCATTTTTTGTTCCGCATAAAAGATCTGCACCGTTCGTTCGATTTTCATAAGTGAGGTGTCAAATTAACGGGCTCGGGTTGTAGATGTGCAATAAGAATTTATTTTTTTGAAAAGAGTTGCCACCTTTTAAAAACTTATCTACATGCAAATTATTAAAAAAAAAAAAATAAATCAATTATTGCAAAATGGGTATCAATCGAAATGGTTTTGAAAAGCTTTGTTTTTTAACATAACTATAGGAGGGTTGCCACCTGTTCAAAAATCATATTAGGTAAGAGAAATATGTATCACCATGTGGGTGCCAAACGAAAGGGGTTTCAGAAAGAAGTAGTTTGAAAATATTTTGAAGAGGGTTGCGACCTGCTTGAAATGTCGAATTTAGTTTACTTATGCACAAGTTATACGAAATATCAAACGAAGGAGTGATAAGAAATATTGAATATTTTTAAGGTGTTGGAAGAGGGTTGCCATCTGTTTAAAAATTAAATTCAAATTATTTTATAAGTTAAATGACTTATCAAAATATGGGTGTCAATCGAAGGGGGGTTGAAAAATATTTATTTCTGAACTGTATTTAGCGGGGTTGCCACATGTTTGAAAATTAATAATCCAATTAATTCGTCAGTTAATTAAAATATGTAAATTCAAACTATTTTATAAGTTAAATGAATCATCAAAATATGGGTGTCAATCGAAGGGGGGTTGAAAATTTTTTATTTCTGAACTGTATTTAGCGGGGTTGCCACATGTTTGAAAATTAAAATTCCAATTAATTCATCAATTAATTAAAATATGTATCGCAGTGTCCGGCGAAGGAGGGTTAACGATGATTAAGCTTGAAAATACTTTTGAAGAGGGCTGCCACCTGTTTGAAAGGCCTAACTTAATTAACTAATTCAATAAGTATATGAAATATAAAAATAGCGTAAAAATGTTTGAAGAAATTGGCTACGTGTTTAAAAAGTTACATTCAAATTATTCAGTAAGTTGGATGAATTATTAAAAGATGGGTATATTTTTAAAGTTTTTGAAATTCAATTTTGGGCGTTTTAACGCCATGCGGGTTCACTAGTTTACTTACATACTGTTACACCCAAAAAAATAAGTAAACGGGTCTTTCTTCGCCTTCAAATATTTTAACGCGTCTTTCTTCGCCGTCAACTATGTTAAGAGTCTTTCTTTGCTGAAGTTTTTTTTCTGCCTCTTTCTTCGCGGTCATCTTTTTTTTATTAAACTCTCTTAGAAGCGATTAGTTGAATTAAAAGTTGGCAGTTCCCCCAACTTCATTGGAAGCGATTAGTTGAAAGGCCGTTCACACCGGGCGATTGTTGCTTTCAACTAAAAGTTGCTTCTCGCGAACACCGTATTAACTTTATTTTGAGTAGTCAGGATATCAGAAGTTTAGAGGCAAATGGCATTTAAAAAAAAAAAACAACATTTATATGCCAACTATTTACAACTTAAAATTTAAATCAATGTCCTTCTGCGGCCCAACTATGAAGTGTTTGCGTACATACGCATTATGCCAATGACCTCTTAAGTTCCCCAAACAAAACGTGTGTATGTATGTATGAAACATAGGCGCCATAAGCAAAGTATTATGCGCAATAATGGCACATTAAATTTACTACCAATCATAAAAGCTCGCTCTTTTGCATGACAAAAGGTCCAAAGCACATTAAGTTAAAACAACAAATGTGCATACATTCAAACAAAGATAAACGCCATCACCAACCGCAAGGACAATAAGTACGTTGCCATTATTCATGGTCAACGGCGCTAAATCATAATCGCTCGGAAAGGTCACGTTTAAGTTTATTTACTAGTTGACTTACCAAGTTTTTGGAATTCTCTTTGAGATCCTTGGCAAATACTGGCGGACCGTTTGCCATTAAGTGTGGCTCCTGTAAAGGTTTCATCGGTGGTGGTAGTTCTAAACCAGCTTCTTCCTCGGCCTCATAATCGGCTTGTGCGGCATTGGCCTGTGATGACGCCGCCGATGTGCCATAGTGGCTTCGACTGCCTGCTGTGGCCGAAGTTACAAGGTTCTTCTCATCCTGCTCGGTTTGTTTTTGTGTCAACTAAGAAAAAAAAAATTACAAATAATGAAATTAGGTTATGCTAAGAACAAATAATGTAGAAGAGAATTAAGAAAACTTGTGAGTAATGTTGATATATGTATGCATGTACATATTTTTACTTATACTCGTAGATACTTTGAGGCAAATAACCTTCAAGGGTAGAATAAACGAAGGTTTGTTTACAATCATCAATAATGGCAAAGAGGTCAGTCAACTAATTATTTTTTAATAAAACACTTCTTACAATTAGCTCATAAAGCAGTGACAAATTGCAAAAAAAAAAATTTGAAATTAATTAACTATTCCATGAAATCAGTAAATTAATTATAGAGAATAATTAATAATATTTAAAATAGTATATTCCTTTTTTAGAGAATTCTCAACAAAAAAAAAAAAAAAATTGTAGTACCTGTCAATGAAGGAAATTGAAAGGCTAATACTTTTTGGTTAACAGCGGGAGAAGATGCAAAACAGAGCGGAAAAGGAGAAGGGAGAAAAATGGAAGGGATAGTTGCTTATGGTAGAAAAACGCTCCGTGCTCTAAACAAAGTTCTCTTTTCTCGAAAGCTCCGCGGTTGTAAAAAGAAGTGAGATACAAGGTGTTGAAATCTTAAGCTCGCTTAAGCTGGAAAGCTTAGCAGATATTCAGATGATTACACCCTATTATTCTCGATACAGCTGCTCTAGCAGAGCTTGGCGTGATGTTATGCTTTACTGCTTGAGTTCCGTTTGGACTATGACTAGTTAGAGCTCCCACCAGTAACGAGAGATGTGGCTTGTTCAGTTTTAACAGCTCCCTACCCGAATTTTATAAAATGTTATTTTAATCTTAACATTGCTCTCGTGGAAAACGAAAAAATCCGATTTACGATCTTCTTCTGTATAATACAGAAATTATAATTGAATCTTATTTTAATACTCACTCTTAAGCTCTTTTCTGAGGATTTCTTTGTAAGTATTTTATCGGCTGGTGTCTTCTCGTTCTTGTTTTGTGAATGTTTTCGTAGTGGAAACCATTTTGGCCTGAAAAGTACAATAAAAAAAGAAGAAATGTTTAGTAAGAAATTTAAAAGTATTACAATAAAAGGTTTTTTTTAATTGTATGGAGCCTAAAAGGAAGCTATATAGGTTAGATAGAACACCTACAAACCTAACCTCATATTCCTTTTACAAAAATAAAAAAAACGAACAGCATTAATCGCTGAGTCAATTGACTTGAAAAACCTTTTCTTAAACCCTCATATTCTAGAGGTGTAACCAACAAACCACTTATCGTCTAAAAAGTTTGACCTTCAGAGGGCAAATGCCGTTTTGTTAATTTCCATGTTATCTGGTGGTGACTTATATATACTTTGTAATATGATAGCCACGTACATATACATACATTTTTGCATACAAAGCCAAATTTTGTTAATTCATATGTACATATACATACATACATATGTACATATATGTATGTCCAACGAAAGAATAAAAGAGAGCAGAAAAAAAAATTTAGAAAATTTTGCATATATATTTTTGCATAAAATTTCTTACAAAAATTGGCGGCAACACATAACTTCCAAGTCTCATGACCGTCATCATATCATAAAGTTGCCACATGGTCAAGTGTATGTCCCGCGGTTACATGCTCAGACGCTCGTCCGCACATTGTAAATATTGATATTCATAAAAATACATACATACATACAAATATAGTATATGTACATACATATCTATGCAGGGGCCGCACATCAACAAACTGCTCACCCACTCGTTCAATCATTATTGTGTGTGCGCACAATTAAACGGAAGGAAAGAAGGAAGTCATAAAAAATATGGAAATGACGATCGGAATGGGATGGCTGGCCGCACCGTCTCACTGTCGGCAGCAACATTCTCTCAACCCAACTACCGCCCCCAATCTTGATGACATTTCCAAAAGCCACGCCAACACTAAGTTTGTCACTAATAACAAATTAGCATACCCAGCAGGGAAATGTTTGCATTCATGGTGAAATTACTGAAATGCTGAGTTGAAAATAGACATTCACGTATGTACATTAGGGTGGTCGAAAAACGCATATGAAAATCAACTTCTTGGAATTTTCACGTTGGTCAACCGGAAAAGTTAAAATCGAACGTATGTACGTACATGGCGTATGAGTAACATTCGCATTTCGTCTGGGTAACGTATACGCCATGTACATATGTACGTACGTTCGATTTTAACTCTTCCGTGAGAATGGTAGGTTCAATATGTATCCGCCATTTTGAATTTCTTATATCTAATTTCAGATTCAAAATCATTAGGCGAATCCAATCGATTTTAATTTTGAGTTGCGCAATTTTTAATTAAAAAAGGGGATTTCAGATTCGTAATCAGCGGCCCCGATATCCCAGGAACGCCATTTTGAAGTATAAAAAGGGGATTTCAGATTCGTAATCAGTGACCCCAAAAACTATAGAATAAATCATGATCTAGCTTTCTGTCATCATTTGCAGAAAGAAATTCGCTTCTTCGCGAAAGGAGCGTCTTCCAAGGCGTGCAGTAAAGACGCCATTTTTAATTTTTTTAATTCGCCACTTTTTATTTGAAAGGGTATTAGTTTACAAGAATTTTGGGCAGGGCACCAGGCCGGTTGACGTGAATCTTCCCATATGTATACATTTGCACCTTCAGAGACTCTATCGCTGCGAGAGACCCGCGTAACTCTAGCGGAACTAAGGTCTGGATACTGCAGTCGACTGCACGCATACCTATTAGCGCGGGCCAAAAATCCGCTTTTTTAGAATGTTGCTTGGTAATAGCAAAAATATGGTTCATTATGCTCTAAAAAAATCTGTGTCTAAGATTAAAATTTTTGGTCAATATCTTAGGCTCGCCCAAGTCCATCAAAGTTCAAGTGGTAACAAAAAAACTTTTCTTAGCTTATTCCGATTCTCTAGAAAAATGGTCCATATACCAAATTATGTAGGACTAATACGTTCGAAGATAATTGCAATTTTAGTAAAAAAATGTGTTAATTAATTTGTTTATTAATTTTTATTTTTTGGGAACATTGAACTTTCATCTTTCACGCAGATTTTCTTAGAGCATAATTAACCATATTTTTGCTATTGCCAATCAAAATTCTAAAAAAGTGGATTTATACTACTAAATTTTCTCGCACGGTCCCCAAAAATTTGCTTATTTATCTTTACTTAGCTAAAATGTTGGTAGCAGAATACAACTGTTTATCATTGCAACACCAACACAATTTCCGTTCCTGCTTCGCTCCAACTCTTTCATGTAACTGTGCGCTGTCCTTATAACCGGATACTCCCTATGCTAATGCGTAGGAGTTTTATATGTTTGTAGTTCATTATATACATATGTACATACATACATATTTACATATTTGCTACACGTGTATGCTATGTACATATATTTACACTTGTTTACATGATGCGTACAGTTTGAGGTCGTCGCCTTGGTTGGTCATATTATTTGGCGACTCATTAGTGAAGTGTCGAACAACGCGGTCATTGTGGCGTTCTACGACTTGAAACTTAAGTAAATAAGGATGTGTTTTGTTTGGCTAAACGGCAACAGTTCACATGTTAATTTAGTAGATACCTATATATGTATGTATGTATGTATGTAGGCGAGTGTTGAGACACTGCGCTTTGGGTCGCGCAAAGCATGGCAGGGAGATACTATTTTTTTGTATGTAGTTGGTATGCAACATCAGTAGGCAGGCAATGGTAATGGTATATAAAAGAGAAGTGTGTCAATAAATTATTAATTTCAGATATTTTTATTAAGACATTTTCATTGAATCGCGAGTTAAGCATGTTTATTAATAATGCTGAAATTTTCCTTTGTGTACAGTGAAATTTATCAAGGCGCATTTAACCCAAATTGCAATTACTGTTCATGAAAAAGAAATAAATTATATCCAATTTATTAAATATTCTCCTATAATATGTACGGTATGTTTATATCTAGTTTGTACTTTCTTAACCCGTCTTAGTGAAGACAATAGAATTTGTTTTCTGTAGTGAAAGTATGTATTCAAATCTAATAAATAATCTAATAATAGTAAAGTCGGCATAGCTAGTGGCATTTACTAATTACTTCAAGTGGTTTAATATAAGTCAATCATCTAAAACCTGTAAATTGAAGAATTTGCAATACAAAAAAAAAATATATAATACTTTATAATTCAGATACACATATGTACGTATGTATGTATGTACATATCGATGTTGTAGAAAAAACTATGAAATCCTTACTTAATATTATAAATTCGAAAGTTTGTAACGCTTTCACGCTTTAACTGCTCATTCGTTTATCATAAAATTCTGCAAATTCAAGCACAACTTAAAACATAGGTTAGCTTTTATCTCGATTAGACAAGGGGGCGTGGCACCTCTTATACAAACGGAATTTTTCATACTGCATATCTAAGGAGGAACATATCTGTAGTAGGGAAGGAGCTGTATAAGAAAGTTTTAGATTGAAAATATTTTGCAGGGAATCAACAAAGGCTTGGTCACATTGAACTAACATTACCTGATGTTCGCCCCATAGATGGTCCCTAGAGATGAATGATCCAAAAACTTTACGAAAATTTTGCAAGTTTAAAACCTTTTCGGCGTTGAAGCTCTTTATCGTGGAAACTTGGGATTCAATATCCTCAGAAATCCATCGTAAATATTTACTTTAATTCTGCGCCAAACTGTTTACCTGACATTCTTAGTTATAGAGGTGGACTAATAAATTACTAAAAAAAACTATTTTATTAATTTTTTTTAAGCTTTTTTTTTGGTCTTCCCTATAATAATGACAATTATGGCGTTTTCTCTTTTATAAAAACATTTGCCTTTTCATTGTCCTCTCCTTGCAAAAGAAAACGCCATTAATTTTGAGGTAATTTTGGTAAATTTTCTAAGTCTTATAAAATATGCGGGTGAATCCGATAATTTATTTCGGTGTTTTGTTTTTCTGGTGGTCTTGTAAGAATTAAATATAACAACTATTTTTCAAAAAGTCCTTGAATTCTACTGCTAAAATGTATATATAAAAACTAAATAAAGTGTATAAAAATTCGCCAATAAATTAAAAAAAAATATGTGTAAATTTCGACTGTTTGTTAGCTATTTATCAAGAAGAAAATACAGGATGCGTCAGGTGTCCCATAGGCGCCCATAGCGACTATTGAACAGCGCGCGAGCAAGGTATACAAGTACTTTTTCTCAAAAGAGCTTTTCACCATGAAAGTTTCACAGTTAAATCTTTTTTATTCATCTCCTTCATAATTCATGCAGTAGAGGTACTAGAATTTAATGGGCTATAAAACTTCGAAACATTCTGATTAAAAAGTTGAAAATTTAGATGCAACTTTGCACAATTTTTATAATTTTTGCACAAAATTTTAAATATAAATTTATATGGTTTTTGTTAGATAATAAATATTAAGTAAATAACAAAAAAAAAAAATACGCAAAATTTGCTAAAATGGCTCGTCCCTATTTATTTTTCCACCACTGTATACAGTCATGTGAAAAATAATAGGGACTAGACATTTTGACCAGTTTCGGCTATTTTTCTTTTGTTTGTTTACTGGTTTTTGTTAGATAATGAACTGTATTTTTATAAAAAAAAAGTAATAACCATTAAACAATAAAATGAAGAATAGCCAAAACCGGTAAATATATCACGTCATTATTATTTTTCACGTGACTATTTGTACATTAGGGTGGTACATATCAAATGAACGATTTTTTTCAGTATCATCCCCTCAATCGGTAATATCACGGTCACAGATTTCGCATATTAATTTTGGTCCCGATTGGAGATGGTTAGGTTAAGGCGTGTCGCACAGGGGGCAAAGTTCAAAATCCTCTATGGAGACTAAAAAAATTAAAATTAATTTTTTTTTCATCAAATATCCAAAACCGATACCAACCATAGTCGAAGATGTCACATATCGATTTTGGTTCCGATGGGGGTCGGTTAAGGCGTGTCGCAAAGAGGTCAAAGGTCAGATACCTCTATG